TGTCAGGTTGTTTTCCAATTTCTCCAATTTTCTGGGCAAGAATTCTTCTAATTCTATCCAAACTCGACCAACAACTTAAGAATAATAAGGTCTAATGGGAATTTCTATGAAACATCCAAAAACTAGGTCAAATATTATCAAATTAATCCACATCATATAATCCAACCGTTCATATCTTAAATGCCCTCAATATTGTTAAGAAAAAACATTTACTATTGACACAGCCAAAAGTCTATGACTGTTGAAAGTAGAGACCATAAATTAATGGGTAAAATGCATTAAACCCCCCTGAACTATTGGGATATGTGTAAGAAACCCTTTAAACTATAAAAGTTGCAAAAAATCACCCTGAACTATTAGGGTATGTGCAAGAAACCGTCTTGAATTATAAAAGTTGCAAAAAATCCCCCTGAAATATTGGGGTATGTGCAAGAAATCCCTCTGAACTATATATTTTTTGCAGTTTACCCCATCCGCGCAAATTGATTGACTGAAAAGGACGATGAAGCCGAGGAATTTGTGGCTGGGATCAGAGTGGTAGATGTCGTCTGAGGAGTGTTTGGATAAGCCAAGGAATCTGTTGCTGGGATCGGTGGGTCTCCTGTCATAGCTCCATCATAGCCGTTGCACCACCCATTAGATCCGTCGGCCATATATATCGCACTTCTCTGCACCGTTGCGTCAGCTCATCGTCGTCACCGCCTTGCTCGCCGTTTAACTCACCTTGCTCACCGGTCCATTCCACCGTCCATTCCAAGCTCGCCAGACCATTCCGCCATCTCTGTAGCTAAGCACACCGCCGTCCGTGTTTCGAGCACATAGCTGTCCACAGTTCACCGCCTAGCCCCCTTGAGCTCGCCGCCGCGTCCACAATTCACGGCCGAGTCAACCGAGCTCTCATTGCAACTGAGTCCTCCGCGCACAAGCCGCCATCATTCGAGACCGAGCCATCCCGTCGACCTCAGATTTCTTTGTTCTCTTCTCTCTTTCTCTAGCTCTCTGTTTTGGATTGTGTTGGGTGAAAAGCATCTTTTGGCAGGAAAAAAAAAAAAAAAATGTAAGAAGTGTATAAGTTAAAACGACGCAGTGTGTTACAAGGGTAAACTGGTTTTTCAAAATTTTCGGTGCCGGAAGCTGATGTCATGGGGGTAAATTGCAACAAAATCATAGTTTAGGGGGGTAAATTGCAACAAAATCATAGTTCAGGGGGGTTTCTTGCAAATGACCAATAGTTCAAGGGGGTAAATTACAACAAAATCATAGTTCAGGGGATTTTTTTATAGTTTAGGGAGGTTTCTTGTAGTTCAGGGAGGTTTCTTGCAAATGACCAATAGTTCAAGGGGGTTTAATGCACTTTATCCTAAATTAATAAAGAATAATGATAGGGAGATGGATGAATTAACTTCGAATAAGTATCGAATCTGACGTATTTTTGTCCGTCTTATCTATTTGAACAGTTTTTAAAAATAATTGTTTAACACGTGATAAAAATGACCAACTACGTCAAATTCGATACTAATTCGATGATTCCTTTTCGATTCCCCTATCATTACTCATTAATAAAATAACTTGTCGGTGGAGTTTGGAAACAAATTAGTGTAAAATTAACTTGTAATTTTATATAAAATCAAATCAATATGAAACTCCGGTCATTTTAGATGATGTGATTTTCCAACCTTAGGAGAGACTACAGTCTTACTAGAATTAAACAGATGATATATAATTACATATGTATATATAAAACACTTTGTTTCTATTTTTTTTAAAAATATTAAAAAAAAAAACATTCTATGAAAGAAAGTGGATAGACTTCTTTTTTTCACCTTTGAATTTCTATCGAATAATTAGAGCCACGAAGGTCAAAGATATTTCGATCTACAGTACCATAATCGAAACAAGTGCAGGATCAAAATTCATATCATTAAAATAAAAACAATCAACTATTGTTTTACCGTTAATTAGATTCCTTTAAACACTTCCATGCTATTTTTTATTAGTTTTAGACCCAAAAGCAATCTCATATAGTGTTTCTCTTCCACCATGTAGTATTTTTTTTTGTTTTTTGGGTAAGTAAATTTTACAGTCATTCTCTCTTGTTTTAACTTTTTTTTCACTGCCCATAGTGTGAGACAGCCCCTTGGTTTTTCTGCTAATCAATCTTTTCAGTAGTTTTGTAAAAATATACTAAAAATAAATAATCCAATTTTTTTTTTTTAAATCTATTATGACAGATCATATATATACATATATATATATATATATATATATATACACAATAATTAGAGATGTTATGATGTTGTAATATTAAGACAGACTACAGTCTTACTAGAAATAAACCGATAATATAATATAATTATATATGTATATATAAAACACTAGAGTAGGAAAATTTTCATTTTATTGTTTCTATTTTTTCAGGTGTTATTCTGTGAAAAAATATAAAAAAACATTCTATGAAAGAAAGTGGATAGATTCTTTTTTTTCACCTTCAAAGGAATCTAATTAATGGTAATAGTTGATTGTTTTTCTTTTAATGATATGGATTTTGATCTTACACTTGTTTCGATTATGGTAACGTGGATTGAAATATTTTTGACCGGCTCTAATTATTCAATGCATAGTCAAAGATATTTTAATTCAGAGTACCATAATCGAAATCGAATAATTAGAGCCAGTCAAAGATATTTCAATCCACATTACCATAATCAAAACAAGTGTAGAATCAAAATCCATATCATCAAAAGAAAAACAATCAACTATTCTTTTACCGTTAATTAGATTCCTTTAAACACTTTCATGCTATTTTTTTATTAGTTTTAGACCCAAAAGCAATCTCATATAGTGTTTGTCTTTCACCGTGTAGTATTTTTTTTTTTTTTTTTGGGTAAGTAAATTTTACAGTCATTCTCTCTTGTTTTAACTTTTTTTTCACTGCCCATAGTGTGAGACAGCCCCTTGGTTTTTCTGCTAATCAATCTTTTCAGTAGTTTTGTAAAAATATACTAAAAATAAATAATCCAATTTTTTTTTTTTTAAATCTATTATGACAGATCATATTTATACAAAAATATATATATATACACACAATAATTGGAGATGCTATGATGTTGTAATATTAAGACAGACTACAGTCTTACTAGAAATAAACTGATAATATAATATAATTATATATGTATATATAAAACACTAGAGTATGAAAATTTTCATTTTATTGTTTCTATTTTTTCAGGTGTTGTTCTATGAAAAAATATAAAAAAGCATTCTATGAAAGAAAATGGATAGATTTTTTTTTTCACCTTCAAAGGAATCTAAATTAACAGTAATAGTTGATTGTTTTTCTTTTAATGATATGGATTTTGATCTTACATTTGTTTTATGGTATTGTGGATTGAAATATTTTTGATCGGCTCTAATTATTCAATGCATAGTCAAAGATATTTTAATTTAGAGTACCATAATCGAAATCGAATAATTAGAGCCAATCAAAGATGTTTCAATTCACATTACCGTAATCAGAACAAGTGTAGGATCAAAATCCATATCATCAAAAGAAAAACAATCAACTATTCTTTTACCGTCAATTAGATTCCTTTAAACACTTTCATGCTATTTTTTTATTAATTTTAGACCCAAAAGCAATCTCATATAGTGTTTGTCTTTCACCACGTAGTATTTTTTTTTTTTTTGGGTAAGTGAATTTTACGGTCATTCTCTCTTGTTTTAACTTTTTTTTCACTGCCCATAGTGTGAGACAGCCCCTTGATTTTTTTCAGTAGTTTTGAAAAAATTGCATACTAGTAGAATTTGTATACTGATTTCTAACTCTCCTGTCAATTCAAGAACTGAAAAAAATTAAACTCGCTTTAAGGTCCTTTTGATTGTTAAAAACATAACAAAATAAAAAACAAAGAAAAAAGGAAAAAGGAAAAGTTATCTTAGAAAAAGGATCATTATCTTCCTAAAGCTTATATTCAACTGCACACGACCAGAGAATAAAAAATCATAAAATAAATTGACAATGAATTTAAAATATCCTATTACCCCATTAATGAATTACAATTTTGATTATCTTTTGTTGTTCTTTGTTACCATTTGCCAAATATAAAACCAAAACAATTTAACATCCTATAATTCAAGGTTATACTAAATCAAAGCACAATCAGATCAAATCATTTCCAAAGTCCAAACCTAAAGGAGAATCAATATGAATAGTACTAAAAACATTTTGCTGAAATATTCTACCCACAGGAAAAGCGTGGGAAAATATGTGAAGACTGTTATGAAGTTTTTGCACATGGAAATGTCCACTCCTGTTTCTCTCAACAATGTTTCATGTTCCCAGTCAAAAAAGAACACGTCCCACAGTAAATAAAACAACCCAATCTATCTTTTTGAAAAAAATTGCACACCCATTGTACATAAGAAAAACGCTCCCCATGTAAAATTATTGCAGAATAAATTCTATGACAAGGATCCTTTAAATTGAATTTGTCTAAGTTATTGGGCCGACAAGATATTATTAGAACGGCATATGGTAACATGTTGCCATGCAACCACCCTATTGACTCGGGTGATATAAACTCTCCTCCCAATGAGAAAGGCAAGAGCCAACAAAAAAAATGTTTAACACGTTGATGTTCGGAATCTTCATGGATTATCTGTTGTAGACTTAATAGAAAGGTTGAAAAAACAAGAAGAATGAAATAAATCAATGTTGATCTGACAGCATGCGTATATCATGTAAAATGAAAGAGCTGCTATCAATAAACCACACAAAATAGTTATTTTCTGCAATTACTTCTGACCAGCGTTTATCACACTCATATTTGATGCTTACATAGAAATTCAGACATAATAACCTAGTTCCAAATAGAAGAGAGTTTTTTTTGTTTTGTTTTGTTTTTTTTTTTTTTTTTTTTAATTCAATGTAAGATGATACATGAATTATTATCCTTAAAATATTAAAATTACGAAAATAAGACATAATGAGGTAGTCCCAAAATCAAGAGAGATTCTTTTAATTCAATGGATTAGCCGATACAAAAATCATTATCCTTAAAAGAACAAAATTAACACCGGCAAAATGATATATGAAATATATACTTAAATATATCACTGGACCGTCATTTCTGGTCACTTTCATAAACATATTTCAACATGTAAGAGCACAATAGATTTATTTCATATTTGTTCATGAATTAATGTCATGGCAATTGATCTTTTGGCCAATTCAATATCCTAGAATTTGCCAATTAATTGCCGAATCATAATCGTGAATCATTAAGAGCACTAGCAAATCGTAATAACAGTTTGAAATTGAACTAAATTCAAAAGCCATGGACAAGATTTTCTTATTGAAAAAACACCTCACTTACACTTATATCAGTAATAATTTATAAACTTGAAAATCATTTACCATGTTACTATTGATTTATAAGCCAGAATATCATTTTGAGAAGGCAAACTGCATAGTCAATCCATCACATGCATCAACAAGAAAGAAAAGAGCTTTTGCACTATAAAAACTGATGTATCTAATAAATATGAATATACACACATGTACCCCTACTATTTCCACTTAAATATACACAAATAAACCTTTTTAAAACCTAACACTAATTTTATTGTTTAGCCTAATAGAAAAACAACAATAATAGGGAGGAAATTCAGCATGGTGTTTGCTTTTGTATAGCCACTGACTGGATCCTACGACTTGAATGGATTATGGGAGGAGTGAAATCCTCATTAGAAACGCTTTAAGGTTTCGAAAGGAACCTTTGATATTTTCTTCACCTTTCTATCACACATTAACAAGGAGCAAGACTAAAAACAAAAATTTTCATTTGATCTTTAAATTCATGTTGATAAATTTCCGATACATTAATGCGTGCACCTTTGAAAATGTGATTATTGGCCTGACTTTCTGAAAAAGTGTTCTATTTGCAAGTGTCCTTGAGACTGCAAACTACTTGTTTTGGATCCATACTTGCATTTCTTTGCCCAAGGTGAAGACTCCTTATTATCCTGCTCAGAAAGAGAAAAGATAATAGATGAACCTCTATGATTGAAGTCTGAAATGAGAACAATTGTGATCCTAGCGTTGATAGAACCATGAACAGTACAAATAAAAAAGAACCAAAAAGCAAATTCATGGTTTATTATAACAGAAACAAAGTTCATGGCAAATTCAAAAAAGTCAACCCAACTCAACTCAACTCAACAAAGTCTTGTCTCACTATCTGGGGACTACATGAATCATATTTCATCATTATTTTCTAAGGTCATAACTCCAATTAAACAATAAACTATATGATATTTCCATACCATCTAAACTCGTGATGATTTCAATATTTCCCTTCTCCTAACATTAGCGCTTGGACCATGTCAATCTCTCCTTGGTGCAGTTAATGATTTCACTGCATATAATGAGATCATCTTGTTTAATTTTCTCTCATTATGTATCCATGATTTTCTACATCAACCTCTCAAGATTGTAATCAATTCAAAATATCTATCTTTTTCTTATCTTATTATGCATCTATCTTAACACGTATTAACACATATTCCGGCCACATTTATCTTATGAACATCTTTTTTGGCCATCCAACTTTGTACTTCATACAGTATGGCTGGTCTAATAATAGTTATATATAATTTTGATTTTCAATTTTAGATAAATAGATTAATTACATAATATACTAGAAACACTCCTCATTTAATAATGATAATTTTTTTTTGTAAATAAAAAACATCATCTCCAGTGTCTTTATAGGTTTAAAAAAAAAAAAAAAAAAACATTCATTTTTAGCATCTCCTTGCCCCTCGACCTTCATTATATCACCACAAATGTTTCTTATTTTGCTCAAGTTATATATCCTATATACTTAGTTTGAGCACTACTCTCAAATAGTTCTTAAAGATTCAAGGTGCACTAAAATGCCAAGGTCTTCTAAAGCTAAGAGAGAGGCACAAAGTAAGGAGCCTATGTAAAATAAATACATATAAAATATAATTTTAGAAAAAAATTAAAACAAACAAGTATACATAAACTAGTCAAGATCAAAATGAAATAATATTTCAGCATGTTAATTTAGTGCATTATGTCAATGTACATATATCGTTCATATTTCATATGAATTCAGTTAAATCAATGTAGAATTGAAACAATTCAAATTACACATACAAAACTAGTCAATGTTTACAAATAAATAAATAATAGATTTTTTCGCTAGGGTTAGGTAAATCAATGCAGTAATGCACATACATCCTTTTGATATGTATGTCATCATCACCATCCTTACCTTAATCCCCATTAAAAAATATTAAAAAATAAAATAAAAAGTTTTAAAGCATTTTCTCTTTTGTTTAATTATTTGTTGCACTTCCTCACTGCATCATCATGTCTCTTTCTTAATAAGCTTCTCCCCTTTAGTTTTGCCCAAAAATTCTTCCGCGTTATTCCTACAATAATTTGCCATTTTGAACCACAAGTTATTTACATCATCATTCCAATCCCATTGCTTTTCCTTCAAGACCTGGTCTTTATACGTGGTCACTTTACTACCTTTCAATTCTTTCCATTTAATGTTTTTATATCCTTTTTTTGCTTTTTAATAGTTAAAGCCTTTATAATATATGCCTAGAATTAGTATGTGATGTTGGTTTGTGGGGCTCTCCGCGGATATTACTTTACAATCTTTACATGAGGCCCATTCCCTTCTTCTATACAAGAAATAATCAATTTTTGTTTTACGTATTCCACTTTTAAATGTTATTATTAGGTGCTCTCTTTTTTTAGAGAAAGTGTTAGCCATTGCTAAGTCATATGCTTTTGCAAAGTCTACAAGTGTTTCTCCTATCTCATTACGCTCTGCAAAACCATATCCTCCATGGCGTGTATTATCCTATCCTATCCACACCGGCACACCTACATGCCCACTAAAATCACCGGCTACAAATATGCTTTCATGCTTTTGATATGCATTAACTAAATCAAAATGCATTGCAAACGCACGATAATGACAATAGAAGGTGTTGACTTAAGAGGCCTAGACTCTAGGAAAGTAAGCCGCTGAGCCATAATGAGGTTAGGCCATTATGGTTTGTTTGATGCCTAAGTTTGCCTCAAACAACTATGCCTCTAAGTTCTTGAGTTTCCTTCTAGACATTTACCACATATCCCTAATTCAGTTTTATCAATGAAAACAATATCATCATCAAAAAGGCTCAAGAAGGTTATGCGTACCAAGTGGTTTGTTAATTCATCCAAATATTATAGGGATTAAATTCTGATACAGGATATAAAAACCACGTATTCGCCTTCTGCAGTTATATAATATAATAATAGTCACGACGACTTTATACGGATCCATTAATATGTCTATTTCATACTTTCTTTTTTTCTTCAAAATCCACCATAGTATATCTATAATTATTAACTTTCAACAAATATATTAAAACAAAATAAAAATCATTTTCTTCTTCTGACTACAAAATTCCATGAACCTCTTTAGTAAGTAAAAGCTTATGTTTTTTACCTTCACAACATAACTCCCAACTAAATTTTCAGCACTATCATTTCAAGTTAATTTCTCCCAAAGATTCATACAAGTACCTTTGTACCAAGAAATTTTGAGCCCATCATTTTGATATATAGTAACTTTTTATCATTTATCAAGCGTTTTTTCAATTTGGAATATGTTTTTCAAATGAAAAACTAAGCTGAATAACCAAATCGGCCGGGGGTGGGGGGGGGGGGGGGGTGGGGGGTGGGGGGAGTTATTGAAGATGATATCATGTACGATGCACATAAATGTTTCTATTGGTTATTTTTCTTTCGTGCTGTTTAATCAGCCTAGTATTCTAGTAATCCAGTTTGAGTAGCATTACTCTTTTAATTATTATATTCTTATTAAATAAGTATGTTAGCTAAGACACGCATATCGTCATAATGAACAAGTCAAATAAAAAAGTTTACTGGTGAGAGCAGCTAGTAACTGCGCTTAGTTAAAGTGCACAGACTACGAATACAGAAAACTATGTTTTAGACTGATTTGAATGAAGAAACAAGAGTGAGGACCCACCAGTGATGACTGATCTATGGACCTCAGAACTTTGATTTTACCACCTCTGCCATCAGCACCAACAGCAATTAAATCACTGGTATTTGTACTTGCTTGTTGCGTTGCTGTAAACGGTTCTGTTGATCCCTTATCCTGGACCCGCTTACACCATTTTCCCAAATGCCTTTTGGTTCCATCAGGACCTAACAATCCACCAGCAAAACAGCGATCTCCTGGAGTTTTGAAACGGAAAAGAAATGAATAAACAAATAAAATACTAGAATATGCTGTTTGTTTTAAATCACTCTCACCACATAAATGCATCTGCTAAATCTCTTCAAATAAAGGTTAAAATTATAAGATAGAGAACCTTTTATAGGCAGTGGAAATTATTTTGCAAAGCCCTGGCTCTCTCTGCTGCATCACAGCCTATCAAACAAAGCTCAAATTGCACAAGGAAGGGGAACAAAGATACCTGGTCGGGCAATTGGGACTCCAGGAGTTCCTTTTTTAATGCAAAGCATAGGTTGGACTTCTGCATTGTCATCAAGAAGCAACACTAAATCCTTATCCATAGCAGCAGATGGAGTATTTACATCACTACCATTCTTTGAGCAAGAAACTGCAACCTTGCTACTTGGTCCATGCTGTAAAGTTTCCTCTTTTTTATTGGAATCAGCCTCTGACCTTGACATACAGTATCCTTTTATGGCTATATCCGCACTGACTTGAGGTTTCGAATCAGGATGCATGACTTCATGCATGGATGTAGAAATTTCTGATGCATCCTCGTCTATTAAAACGAATGAACTTGTATCAATTTTAGAATCATCTTTAGCATTATTTTTTCTCATATCCTTGGGTTTCATATTTTCTTTTTCCCTAGAGCCAAATAAATCGTTGGTCACACTTCCAGTTTGTTCCAAGTTAATTTTCTGTACAATAGATTCCTCCATTTGACATTTTGATGAACTTTTATTGATGGACGAAGATTTAGAATTCAAATTCACACCATCCGCTACATCCTCTTTACAAGTAGATTTCTTAGAAGCTTTTAAAGCCCTCAAAACTTCATTGTCTTTTAATTCAAAAGCCGTCTCCAGTTCTTGGACCCTTGTCTGGTAAATGACCACATGTTAGTATATATTCTAACTCGAAAATAGTTATCAGATTCACAGTTCACTTATGGAATGTGTGACAAACATACCTTCAATTTCTTTATTTTCTCTTTAGCCTTGTCAAGCTTGTTAAGGGAACGAGCCTCTCCTCTTCCTAGAATATTGCACTTGGCCATCAATTCTTTGTAACTCCTGTGAAAAGCAACATAGGTATGAATTATATGCAAACTACAATAAAAAATAAAATAAAAATGGTACAATTAGTAATAGAAGTAATGCATTTGAGTTGTTTCTAACATGGAAAAATATAAAGTGAAAAGGTGCATAAATCAAATAAAAACTAGCAAGCACCCATAAAACATGGGAAGAGTGGGATAAGATAATGTGAATGCTGAATGCCACCAATGCAATAGAAATTTAACTAAGAACTTACCCCTAAATTAAATTCACAAACCATAATCAAAGTTAAAGAAATGACTTCTATTCTTCTTCCTCTTACTTTCTTTTCTTCTTTTTTTTTTCTTTTCTTTTTTTGTGTGTGCATGACTGCGTGGGGGTGGGGAAATGGGTTGTGAAAGTAACTCTGAATACTTCTGACCCACCATCACTGATTGTTTTCAAAACACCTCAACTGCAATTTAAAACAACTATAAAAATCTACGAAGCATAAACACGAAAACAGGATAAAAACACGGCACAATACGAATGTGACAATATGACAAATTCTTAAAACAAAGAATTAAGATACGAATATAACAAGGGCACAACAATATATATATATATATATATATATATATATATATATATATATATATTTATTTATTTATTTATTTATTTATTTATTTATGTATCTACATATAAAATTAATAGATATATGTATATGTATCCATGTACAAATTTAAAATAATACATAAATGTTTGTCATGTTATATATATTGTTACAAATATTTTCTTACACAATAAAAATAAAATTATGGCAAACAAGTTTTTAGTTATATTGCAAGGAAAAATTTTGGACTAATTAGTTATACAATATTCTTTTTTGAAAAATTATTTTTCTTTTTTCTAAACAGTTATACCATGATATTGTACTTGAAAATTTTATATTTTGATGTTTGAAGTGTGTAAGATGTATCGGAAACATGACCAAAGTATCTCAAATATCAGATACGTTTTTAAAATTAAATACTAATAATAATAATTCCAAATTATGAATACTTTTAGAAAGTGTCCGACATGTATTCAAGAAGTGACTGTAGGATCACGGACAAAATACAATTACACCCCCTAATAAAAGTGTCTGACTATCCGTGCTTTATAGACAAATACAAACCAGACGGATGCAAAACAATTAGTAAAGAAATTTGTGGCCATAGATTGTTGGTTAAGAAGAATCCATCCCAAACATGTACTCTGCCCTCTTCAACAGAGTAAGCCACAGACTGGAGCAACCCTATCACTGTGCGTGGAACAAAAATTCATCAACCAGAATTCCTGTGGATAAACTAACTGCAGCAGTGCAGTCCAATACCCCAAACTCAATAAATTAATGTTACTCAATAACTTAGTATTTGTAAAGAGCTAAATGTCCAACTATAACCAACATGCTTTATAATGGGCAAAGGTATTGCCAAGTCAATGGCCTTTGTTTCAGTACTGAATTGCAATTGACTTTAATCCAAGCTCCTTTTAGAGGTCAGCAATTCGATGGCCCGTAGTTCAAGTAAAAGCATCATGTATTTCTCATTATAATGATTCAAGCATATACTGAAATGACAATATCTGGAACTGAAAGTATAAAAATGTTCTAGATTGCAGATATCTTTCGAATTTGCTGAATCTATGCCCCTCAAAAACAGGTTCAAGGTTCGAAAAATGTTATAAATTGAAAGATGTGAACTTTCTTTTTCTTTCTTCTTCTTCTTTTTGGCAGGAAGTTTGAAGGTTGAGAGGATGGCAAAGGAAAAGGAGAAAGACAAGAAGAAAAAAGATCACAATGTTTAGGACTGACATAGAAGGACATGTAACAATGTAGCAAAAACAACTATAAGTAATTTAAAACGGTAAAATGTTTAATTTATATTCATCCACTGACATACACATTATAAATGCTGTTGAAAGTTGAAACAATATGAAGCATTCAGTTGCAACCATACTTGCATAGGAATTTAGTGTTGCTCAACATGATCTAATGAAGAAACGTACATATTTTAAAGGCTAATAATCCTTAACAATTATCAAACCTAAAGCATTTGTTCTATTCATTGTTTCAAATAACAAATTAGAGAAGGATACACAGAGAGAGAACAAAAATGAACTCACTTGTTACGGATAACTAATGACCTCTTTAAAATGTCAACTGTCTCTTTGCTGTTGGCCTCATTACCTAGGGAAGCAAGCTTCAAAATCTCTTCTTCCTCTAAGTTCAAATCAGACACCCTAAATTGCAAACCATGTAACAACAGTAATCAACAAACAATAATATAGAGATTATTAGAGAACCTAAGACATAAATTACAAAAGGTTTACTTTAACTTAAACAATTTCACTTACAATTTGAGTGCTGCAAGCTCTTTAGCCAACGCCATGTTCCTTTCCTGCAGCCTTGTGCATTCTGAAGTCGATCTATCAAGTTCCTAATTGACAAAAGTATATGAGAAACTTTCTATCAACATAGTCAAACCACAATAGAAGGTACATATACATGTGTATAATTGGCACACATAGGAGGGGTGTGAGTTCATAGTTCACATATACATGTCAAACAAGAGCAAACAATCGTTTACCTCGGATTTTAAAAGAAACAACCTTTGAAAATTTGTTTTCTGTTTCAAAGCTTCATTCTTTGATGCTGCCTCCTTGATGGCCTGCTCCTTGCAAAAGTAAAGCTGGTACATATATTGTCTAATCAGAAACTGCTTATAGAATAAGAAATATAGAAAACCCAAATAATTAAGTATGCGAATAAAAAAATAAAAAATAAAAATCCCTCATTCTCATTGCTCAGAAAACAAGCAAAAGGAATTAAGAGATGAAGCAAATTCCTAAGTCTAAGGTTTCATGAAATTACAATTTTGACAAATCAACTAATTGCACAGGGCCACAAGGGACAAGCGGGATGAAGGTTTGCATTTCTTCGGGTCTGAATTAATAAGTAACATACAATACAAGTTCTAAATTCCCCAAATTTTCCTCCCTTCTACTTGAGAGACAAATGTAGGGTAATTCAAAAAATCAATATCCCAACTTCCTTTCTTTTCCCACCTGAAATTCTCTCTACGAGCAAAAGGACACACTCTGAGAATATGGTTCCATAAAACATAGAATACAAGATTCATTATTAAAAATTTTAATTCTCATTTTTTAACAAAAATTTCAGAGAAACCAAACCGATTATAATGAACTATAATACCTCCTCATTGAGTTCTTTGATATCTTTCAGTTGACTCTCCAAACCAGAACTAAGTCCCTTAACCGTGGCCTCCAATTTCTTGACCTCTCTGCGCAATTCTTCTGGATTTTCTCCGCAATCGAGCGGTTTCTGAGTGGAAATGGGATCGTTGGCATTGCCAATTGACTGGAAATAAAGCCGGCCGACATTAACCTCCGAACAGGTCTGCTTGCACACAGGACAGCTTTTCTTCTTCCCATTCGAACAATACTCGAACCATTGTTGAATACTAGGGTTTCATACAATATAAAAAATTTGCGTTATAATCGGATAATAATGGATCAATGCGGATGATATATATGTGTGTGTGGACTAACCAGAGTTCGTGAAAGACGTGACCGCATATGGAAATGGATTGGAGGTCTTCAACGATTGGCTTTAGATCCTCGTAGCAGATTGAGCAAATGGTCTTGGCAAAGCTGTTGTTGCCACCGACCATTTCTCTCTCTCTCTCTCTCTCTTCACTTTGTCTCCCTCTTAGCGAATCTGTTTCCCTCCACTATGACTCTGTATTTTTTATGAGAAAGATCGAGCGAAATTTGAAATGAGAGTGAATCTCTGAGCGGGAAGAAGAGGGAAGAGCTAAGCGGAAAACGCAAAAAATAAAAATAAAAAAACGATTTAAGCAGCTTTTTCGCAATCTCATTTATAAGGTCAAAATCACCGTATCATGTACCCTATGTGACATTACATTTTAACACCGTTATTTATTACAGTACGAGGTAATAATAGGAAGCACAAATAGGCATACGGATAAGGTCTAAATATCTCTCTCGGGTCCAATCACTTACAGCCATTATAGACATGTCTCATGTTTCCAAACACATTGTTAAGTAAAATCCGTGCTAACTAATAACCAACCCCGGACGAATAAGAATGGTATATGCTATAAATGGCCTGAGTATCAAATTATTCCACACTTCTAAACGTGCTAAGCTCTATGGTCATTAGAGCCTCCTAAAATGACCTATTCAATTTATTGAGTTGTTTCAGATGATCAAAACGGCCATTTATTAATGAAATTCTTTGACAGCTCGTTGTAAAAATTTTGTTTGGTTAAAGACTTTCAAACACATTGGTAAACTAAACTTGTGTTGACAAATAACCTCAAAAACTCATATTTTTAAAAAACATCCATATTTCTTAGAAGTTTAGCCACACAACTAAAGAGATTAGAAAAAAGAAAAATTACTGTTAGGCACAAGAAAATCAGATAATTATAAAAGAAAAAAAAAAACAATTTATCATGCTTTGAGAATATATCATAGTCAAAAGAATAGTTTGTTAATCTGCTTAATTAAAATTCGCTTAACGTGAATAACCTTGAAATGTGTTTGGTAACTTCTTTTGTGTGTTTGAATAATACTGTGTTTATTTTAAAAATAAAAATAAAAAATGCCCAAACTGAAAATACCAAATGAGTATTTCATAATGTTTTAGCAGTGATATTTTTTAACTAGTTATTTTGTTTTTTAATATTGTAACACTTTTTACTAAACATTATTTAATACTAAGTATTTTTTGTTTTTAAAAATTTTGGAGTAAATTTTATGTTATCAAACATGATTCCAATCACTATTAAAATACTCCAAACGAAATGCTTTTGTTTCGAATGAAAATAAAAATACAAAAATGAAATAGGTTGTCAATCATATTCTAAAATAATAATGTAGAGATAAAATGATATTTTAATTACTATATAAAAAAAAAAAAATTAAATTAAATTTTTTTTGGTTAGGTAAGAAACACGCATTCACAAATTGGGCTACCATTTGATGCATGTGAAGTTGGGCTAATGGGCCATTGGTCAGCTGTCGTTTCTCATTCCGTTTCCTTCCAATTAATTCCATCCCCCTTTTCCCCACTCTTTTAAAAACAAACGCAAAGTTCAAAATTTCAAGCGAACCGAAGTGTTGGGCTTCTCTGTCATTACTCAATTCGTTGTGGATGTGGTTACAAGCAAAAAGTAAGTCGCAATTTTAGAATTTATAAGAAAATTTCAGTATACTGTTTTCTTGAAAGATCTGGATTCGGTGAGCTGTGTTCTATCATCTATGTCATTGATAGGGTTCAACTTTCACGCTCTCCTATACGATGATCGAACACGATAGGTGGAATTCATCGAATAAAATCAGTGACGGTGCAATCTCCCAGAGGTATGTGGCGTGGTTTGGTAGCAAGTTGTCATTAAAACACTCAAACTAGTTACATGTAGACTGACCCATATATATATATATATGTATGAAAGTATACACATTGGTAATCAAAGTTTGAGTGTCCTTTCCAGATAGTGTCAGATATGATTTCAGCTTAAGAACTCAGTTTTTGATTTATTTAATTTGCCAGCCTATGGATATTGATGAGAAGGAGCATATGGTCAGAAATGCTGGCCGAATGGGAATTCCATCTGTCCTCTGGCTATGGTAAGGTCTTTTATTTTCTAATATTTTAACTTGTTCGGTCTTCTTTTGTATGGTTGGTCCTTCTATTTTTGTTGTTAGAGTGAGTCTTGGTATATCCATTTGTTTGTAATGAAATGTAGTTGTTAATGTTTGAGAAAGGGAAAACAAAAAAGATACATAGGTAGAGTGTTGTAATTGAGCTGAGGCATCTGGCTATTTTGGGCTTGACTAAATCGGTCAAGCAGTTGTTTGAGTTTGAAGTTGAGCCCGAATGTGAACAGACCCAATTTGGCTTATTTGGCTCGTTTCAAACTCATATTTTGAGTTCGAGTTAAAACTCAGAGAGTAAAGAAATCAAGATTGATAACGAGAGAAAATGATTATAGATCCAAATGAATTATAACAAAGATGTTCGTAACGAGTCTGTTCTATAAAACCAGCTCATTAACATCCTTCGAGCACAGATCCGAGGGAATATCAAACAATTAATATTTAAAACAAACACAAATTACAAAAAATGAATTAAAGAAATAGATATTACAGCTGAAAAGAATTCTAATTAGAAATTCTCAAAATAATAATGTTAAAATCCATTAATCCAAAACCTCCAAAGTAACTGCATTAACTTAACAACTCGGGAATCCCTCAAGTGGACCTCTAATAAAATCCCAAACTGGAAAGGAAATAACTGTAATAAAAAATCCAAAGCTAAATAAAGAAGTAGTCTTACGTAGTCGGATAAATGAATGTCTATATCTGCTCTGCACGATCAAGCTCTAACTCTGGAACTGACGAGCACCTGAAAAATAAGAGAGTGGGTCAGGCCCACATGTAAGTCATATCCTACTACGATCCATACAGAAACCCGATACGCAGATACATCCTAGATAACTCAACAATAACTAAAGTAGTCCATATATGTATAATTACACACTATAGGACGCTCACTAGTCCAATAGGTCTGTTTCAGCCTGAGTAGAGATACCATGCAAATCGCACATAATATGGTCATGAGTAACTAGACCTACCAGGGAACAACACCTATGTCTAGTTATCCATCCTAGGCGATATACGCACCCTAACCATGGTCCTAAGACTCAAGCTCATAGTGAAGGGAGTTATCCATACTATATTTTTACTAGCTTATGGACTTGAGTGGGGAACTCAGAATGGAGAGTGATTGATTCCCCATTCTTGAATAGGGAACTGAACACTTGAATTGAGAGTGATCGATTCACCATTCTGTTACCAAATCATTTTAATTACGTTTATCATCTTAAATATTTAAAAATCATTTTTTTTTTTTTTTTTTGTTGGCAAAGAGGACAAGATCCGTAAGAACAAGTACAATCATTTTGAATCTCCAACATAAAAAGTTATACCACTTGGATTAAGTTTTTCATGGTCTATTAAATGGAACCTTCATTTTTCGTTTTGCTAACTTATCTCTACTTTACCAAACATATATCAATCTACTCAATTTTTTTTTTAATAAGTATATATCAATCTACTCATCTTTTTCATTCATTTTTGTATTACGAATTCCAAATACAACAAATAGTTATTTTCAGAATTATTTTGATCTCAAATTGTTATTTTTTATATATTACTATAATCTTCATTATCATTAAATTTCATATATTTTATTTTAATTACTAATCTTTAAATTGATTCGCCTTAATATCATCGACAAATAATATGCACCATTGTGTAAAATTACTGTAAGAATTGGATTTATTAGTGATTCTTAGTGCACATATGATATTATGGGTTTGGTCTTTGCCAACTATTTTACTTCACTACATAGCCCAATAACACGTTATGACCTTTGTTAAAAACCATTAGAATTGTAACAAAGGCCATTGAAGCCCACATATATAGGAGTCATTTTCTTTGACATTAAAGTATGGAGCATTAACCATTGGCCCAAAACAGTGGAAAAGCATATATGACTCAAATATTTCACATAAAAACATATATATATATATATATATATATATATATATATATATATATATATATATATATTTCAATTAAATAATAAAAGATAACACATGTGACATAGTTAAACAATTAAATCAAATAATAAATAAAAATAATTAAACCAAATAATCACCCAAAAATACAATAAAAATAATAAATAAAATGCCGAGACTATTCTTTTAAAATTAGGGATATTACATTTGGGTATATTTCTGGGAGCCACACCTGGTTGTGACTGTTTAGACATCTTCTTTGCTTCAGCCTGTGTCAGCATATAGCATTCTTTTACAGCGACTTGATCGTCCCATAGATTAATAACCTCTTTTTCGTCCGGAGATAAGCACCGCATCACCTGATGAAGGGTGGACGGAACTCCTTTCATTCGGTGTATCCAGCCTCTTCCCATGATGAGATTATAGGAAGGGTGGATCTCTGTTAAGACAAAGTTTTCCTTCAGAGTCCTTTTCGCCACGGAACTCTGGATCCACCGTCAGGCTATGGCAGGAGACTAAAGGATCGATCCCTACCATGTCCGAATGATCCCATGCAAAAGCATCTGTATTGCTTCGAATGACATCAATTAATGCTTCCTTTTCTTTGGATGTGGAAGAAAAGCCTAAATAAGTGACCTTTCGGGGGTCACCGAGGATAATTTCTATGGCTCCGAGGATCTCCTCGGTAGGCTTCGTAGCTTCTTCTTCCTTCTCTACCTTAAGATACTTGGGCAGAGGGTTCTGTAGTTGCTATTTGGATATATTTCTGGGAGCCACGCCTGGTTGTGGCTATTTAGACATCTTCTTTGCTTCAACCTGTGTGAGCATATATCATTCTTTCACAACGATTTGATCGCCCTATAGATTAATAACCTCTTTGTCGTCCGGAGATAAGCACCGCATCACCTGATGAAGGGTGGACGAAACTTCTTTCATTCGGTGTATCCAGCCTCTTCCCATGATAAGATTATAGGAATGGTGGATCTCTGTTAAGACAAAGTTCTCTTTCAAAGTCCTCTTTGCCGCGGTTACGGATAAGTCTATTACCCCAAGGGGATCTACCCTTGTGCCATTGAACCCCATCAATGGGCTGGATGTAGGTCGAATTGATGATGACGGGATCTTTAACTGCTCAAAGACTGCCTTTGTGATGATGTTGGCACTACTCCCTGGGTCTATCAAAACCCTCTTGATTATGCAATTCGCCACTAAGAGACTGATGACCAATGGATCCTCATGGGGGAGTTGAATAGGTCGCCATCACCGAATCCAATACCGATGTTGGCCGAAGCGATAGCATTGACCGAGGATAACTTCCTGAGCTTATGGGCTGCCCTCAATTTGGATATGTATACCTCCTCAGACTTTTGATCATCTTCAGATCTACCATGTATTGCATGAATGACCTTTACTTGATTACCTTCTACCTTCCAAGGATAGACCTCGCGGGGCTTCACATACTCCTTTGTCGTGAGATAATCCGCCAACTCACCTCTAGCTATCATATTTTCCACTTTTCGCCTAAGGGATCTGCAATCATTGGTTGAATGCCCATAATCTCGATGATAGGCGCAATGCTTGCTTTTGTCCCTCTGCTCCAAGGGTTGCTTCATAGGATGCGGGGCTATGAACCTCATCTTATTCTCTTAGAAGAGCCTAGCCAAGGTAGTTCGGAGAGGTATAAACCCTTTCTCTCTCCTTTGCCTCTTCTCAGGTGCCTGGGTGATCGTCGTTGAGGCGCGCTGGCTTTTCTGGATTTTTGAATTTGGAATTCTCTCCCTAGGCTTGTTCTCCACTGTCACGAGGGTGGCGTGCTGCGCTCGGTGGGCTACATTTTCTTCAAGCCGAATGTAGATCTAGGCCTTGGCCTTGAGAGTTTGCATGTTGGGAGGAGAATATTTGACCAAGGAAGTATGAAACTTCATCCCCTGAATCATTGCAAGTTTGAATGTTTTTATAGCAGTCGTGGGATGATAATCTGCTATTTTCAAGGCTTCCATGTTGAATCTAGATAAGAAATCCTGCAGTGTTTCCCCTTTCTTTTGCCTTACGGTGAAGAGGCTGGCAATACTTTTCTTTTGATTCTTATTTCCACAGTATTGTGCTAGGAATATGGTGCACAGAGTTACGTAATCCGGGATGGACTTGTGTGGCCTATTCCTGAACCACTCTAGTGCAGCTCCTGTCAAACTGGTAGGAAAAACTCTACACATCCAAGGATCATTACGGTCATCTAAAGCCATCTTTTGGGTGTAATAATCCAGGTGCCGAGAAGGATCTCCCGTACCGTCAAACTGAGTAAAAGAAGGCATGGTAAATTTCTTGGGCCTCTCTACTATATACACATCGTCAGTGAAAGGAGTCTTCACCAGGGAGTTTTTGTGCTCTCTGGCCATCTTAGCGGGTGTCTGAATCTTCAGCAGTCTTTTCTCATTAAAGGCATCCTGAACACCAGCACCATCTAGAATACCATTGGACCATACCGTAAGCTTACGACTAAACTTGGCTTGCTCGTCCTGCGTGCGACGAGGGAAGTTGTCCGAAGCAACTGCCTCGGTCCTTGTCTTCTGCTGCTGTTAAACCTTGTTTGGCTGAGCCTCATTGGGTCGTGCCCTATTAGGTTAAGGCCGGTTAACTGGGGGAATATTCTGATTAGGGGGTGCTGCCGTATCACCTGGTGGTGGCAGTGGTGCCAACTGAGCCATCGCCGTTTGCAGAGTGTTATTCTGCTGTTGAAGCAAGACGATCTGAGCCACGCTAGCTTCATTCGCTTGACGAAGTACGTCAAACTGGTGTAAAAACTCTTCACGCATCTTTTGCATCAACTTCGTCTGTTGATCCGCTGAAAATCCTCCATTCAACAATCCAGATAGTAGTAGCATAATTCACTTGAAACAAGAGTAGGAATATATTTGTACACGAATTCCCGCATACGATGCTGTAGGTGCAAAATCCTGCTCAACCAATAACGATTGAGAAAAATAATACAACACACTCAAAAATAGTAAAAATAAACAAGAACAATGTATAGAGAAGTATAGAATT